CTGCTGTGTCAAATTAGAAACAGGCTTTTTCCTGGGCAGGCTTTGTCCTGAGATGGTCTCTTGGCTTGTGAGTGTGTTCTGACTTGGCAAAAACCCAGTTGTTTAAAATATTCATCCAGCTGTGAAGCTGCACAGGCCCATGGTGTGATGAGTGAGCACAGGAGCCACCAGTGGCCTCTGCAGAGTCACAGCCAGTGCTGGTGTCAGGGCTCTCAGCTCCTGCCCAGGCCATTTATGATCCCCTCATCACCCCTCACCTGTCACAGCTGAGAGATGGAGATGCAGCTTCTTCTAGGAGATAAAAGACAAAAGGAAGTAAAATCCAACAGCAGCCTGGAAATGCCTTGCAGTGTTTGCATTGCAGTCTTCTGTGTGCAAGGCTAAAATAGGACATGTCTGTGCCCAGCTTAATAGGGGCAGAGTCCTCCAGTGACCTTCCTGGACTGTAAACCTCAGACTGGATCATGGTGTCTATTCACAGGTATAGACCATAATGTTTGGGCCAAAAGGCTTGCTGCCAATTTGCTGTGCAGGCCATTTGATTAAATCTCAGTATATGACTTTCCCTTTGATGGAAAAGAAAGGCCATCCCTTACAACAAACCCCTGTGTAGTGCATTTATGACAGCACAAGTTAGGCAGATGAATAACAGTATTTGGAGGAAATTTCTGTAAGCTGCTTAGTGGTTACAATAGGCAGTGCTGAATTACAAGTGTCATTTGTCCAAGTGGAGTCACTGCTGTGTCCCCTTTTACCTCATACACAGCACCACAGACACTGTGCCTGGATGGCAGGTAATGATGCCACTTCTCTTATTTAGGGATGATTATCTGCAACTTTCACTTGTCCTTTCATGTCAGTCCCAGGTGAGAGCACTGAGTTTTCCAGGCTTATCAGTGGATTAAAGCTGTCAATAAAGTAAAAAAAAACCAATAAATTCTTCTTAGCTAGCTTATGATAGATAAAGGAATTCTGAAGTATTTCTATTTCTCCCCAAATAGGGAAGATCAGATAGACTGTTTCCTGCCTTTCCTCTCAGAAGAATATGGCGTGGGAGGTCTCAGAAGTATTAAATTATTTTTACTTAATCAGGAAGACAAGAGTCTTGGAGCCTTAATAGAGACATATTTTCCTCTCAACGCTTCTCAAACATTTGAGCTGCATTGGTTTAATGATACAGGAGTTTTAAAGGGGCTGAATAAATCACTACTTTTGCTTTTCATCAAGTGATATGCTGGTGATAAAGCTTCTGTTTGAGACCTGGTAGACCTTTCAGGAAAAAAACCCCCAGCATTAAAACCAGGCCAAATTCACTGTGTTTAAAACCCAGCAGTGGAAAAACATGCCTCAATTACATAAATGTTACTGTTCAGCACAAGAATGTCAAATGTGCATGAGGTTCTTGGAGACCTTGGTTATATTCAGTAAATATATTCAGTTACTAGTGGTAACTTGGAAGACACTTAGGAGCAGGGAAGAGAAGGAGGGATCACTGAACAGAAAGCTGACAAGGGCTGCAGCTGTGCAAGCGTGGCTTGGCTGGCTGGAGCTGCAGCATGAAGGCTCTGGTAGGTCACAGCACAGTTTGTTCTTTCTGATTTACGAGTCCCACACTTTGAGCATGTCCTGGCTTTGCTGTGGAAATGGCTTCCAGTGCCCAGGAGTGTGTGCACATCTTATCAGGGATCAGTCCATCACGAGTGTCAGTCATGGGGCAGCAACTCTGTGCACGCACTGCTGCACTGCCACCTGCTCAAAAAGGCTTTTGCTTTGCAAAACGCAGAGCCAGGGCTGTGTCACTGCCTGCCAAACGGGACCCTAAAGGGAGCAATCAGCAGCTAGAAAGGGCACAAGAGGCTCTCACTGCTGTGTGCAGTTGGGTCAAGCTTGTGGTGCACTGCCAGGTGAGCACTGCACCCTGTATTTCCAGCACAGCTCAGCTCAGGTGCTGCTAAGCCAGGGAGAAGGAAAATAAATAAAGCAACATGCTTGCATGTACTGCTAATACATCACATCCTGTTTATTGCACAGAACTCCTCCCATCCTATTAATAAAACGTCCCTAAGGTTTCAAAGTGGAAAACTCAGCAGCTGCTGATGCAAAATGACAAGAGCAGAGTGATGGTGCTTTATACCACGCACAGATCAAGACTGAAAGCTTTATTTACGTGCTGCAAAGCTGTTTGCACAAGGCCTTGCCCACTTTGGTGCATGAGAAATCCGGTGATGAAACAATTCAGTTGTGTTACAAAATTAAAAAGCCTTCTAAAGACTTTAGGCATTAAGTGCTCTTTGTGTGCTGCTGTATTACATTCATAAAATACCCAAGCCTGGCTCTAATGGGCTGTAAATGAACTCTTGGTGAAAAATATATCAAAATAAAACTACAGGCAGCCTGGGAAAATGCCTTCCAGGTTCCTCATAAAGACTTCATACCAATTAGCAAAGCCAGTCCCAGAGAGCACATAACGGGCTTTTTACACGAGGCTTTGCACATACTGGCATGTTACTTTATTTTTTACAATACCAGTATTTACACCAGCTGTGGCTTTAGTGAGAGAAATGCAAGATTTTCTGTGAGAGCAAGGAAACGGTATCGTTTACAACGGAAGATAAACAGAATTGCTTCTACCAGGAAAATGGGAAGTCAGAGCAGTGTGGGCTGAATTCTGTCCTTATTTGGCTTTGGGGAATTATGTGATTTTATTCCATGACTCAGAGTTGTTTTTACAGCATTTGCGTCACCCAGAAAAGTTGAATCTGCATAAGACCCAGCATGTTCCAGGAGAGAATATTTTGTTCTGTAATGTGAACTGGCTAGCAGGCGCTGACAGGTCTCATGTTTAGCTTTATTATTAATATTATTATTATTATTGTTGTTGTCATCCAGGCACAAACTGCAAGATATCTCAGAGCTATCACTTTGTGTTACTGCAGCAAGTATGTGCAGTACCAGGGAAAATCCTGATACTTGGAGAATCGTTTTACAAATCAGCAGCAGTGAATTCCATTTGCTTTCAGTTTGCCTCCTTTGACCTCAGTTCACATGTGGAAAAACACAGCCTGTGTATGACGTGGATAATGTAACTTCCCTGCTCAGTTCCACCCGGATCTCAACGTATTATTTCACTTGCAGAGCCTCACCCATTGTAGGTGCCACAAATCAGCCACTGCCCTGAAGTGTAAATGCTTGTGTTTTTCCATCCAGGAGGGTGGTTAGAGAATTTGGCACATAATGCTGCAATGAGTTGGCAGAACTGAAAGTAGGTGAGCTCAGACACTGGTCTGAAGAATGCAGCAAATCCAAATTTAGGGCTCTGGAGGCTGGATCACAAGTGCTGCAGCCCTGTGCTACAAAGTGCTGATCTGATACTGGCTCATTCCGCTTGTTCAGATGTGTTTGAGTGTTTCTGAGAAGTTATTTTTGTGCTGGCAGGCTTTGTGAGAGATCAGGTGGTGTCTGCCCATGCGGCTCTGTCTTTCTGCGAGGCTGGAGATCATTTCTGTTCCTGCAGCTGGCCCGGAGCTGTCATTAAAAGCCTGACACTGGCACAAGCACTGCTCTGGCTAATTAGGCAGCAGCGAGGTTGTGTGCCCACACCCAGCCTGGAGGAGCTGCACGCCCCATCCATTGCTCAGGACAGAGGAGCAGCTTGGGCAAGGCTGAAATCCAAAGCAAAATGAGTTTCTTTTCTTGTTCCCAAGGGCGGGACACTCACCTTTGACCCCTGCTCTTTGCTGGAGGGCGCTGGCCCTGGACTTTGACTCCAGCTCACTGTGTGGCTGCTTTGGCACCAAGTTTGGACCCGAGGGTGCATTGTGGTCCTAAGGGCCATTCCTATAAAGCAAACTTCCTTCTCTCTCACCTACTATTTTTTTTTTTTAACAGTGTTTTGCTAGTGGTGTGCTTTTGGCTTTTGCTTTCTGGTTGCTCAGGTTTTGTCAGGACAAAAGGGTGAGGCTCAGCAAGGTGCACGTGTCTCTGCAGCCTGGGAGAGGGAGCACTGCAGTAAATTCCTGTTCTCTGTCTCTCCCCTTGTGTCCAGAGGAAAAGAAAATGAAGCCTGACATGATTATCAGATAGCTCATTAACTGAATCCCATCAGAAGTGGTCACTCCGCAAATTCTTGGTGATTTAATTCCCCCATTTAATTAATTCCTCCCCTAGAAATTACCGGCTCACATTAGAGACAAATTACCTGTTAATTTTCCATTTGATAATTAGTGTTCTTCTAGGCCTTAGTTAAGTTTTCTTGCCTTATGTCAATTTTGATCAAAAGGAGACACCTGAGCCTTTTGATTTATGCTCCTGCTAATGTCAAAATTTCCCCTTTTATGGATGGAGCACAAAGGCAGGGGTCTGACAGAGCCCACGGCACCTCCTGCAGAGATAGTTCCCTCCCCACCTCTGCTGGGCACTTTGCATGGGCCTGGGAGAGACAAAAGACAAAAAACCCACCCCGAAAATAATTACAGTGCACAGCTGTGACCTTTGCATCTTCTGCTCTGCTGGTGCCCGAAGTGTCTGAGCGTTGATTTTTTATCTGCCAGGGGCAGTGGCCTCCAGAGGGGTGGCAGTGCAAGGGCTGCATGTGAGAGCTATGATGGTGGATGGGGGAACTTTCCTGGGCTCTGTCTCTGCCCCTGAGGCTTCTGCTGCTGTATTTTATCTACAGATTTGTTCCGTGCAAAATGCAGAAGCTGCCCAGGAAACAGAAGGCGATGCTTCCCCCGCCATCCCCCCCGGAAATGTTTGTAAATCCCATCTCCTCTTTCGCTGTGTGTTCCTGCCAGTGGCTGCTGGCATTATTTATTCATTTTGCTGCACAGTGTCATGGTTTCAACAGGAGGGGGGGATAGTCCCCTTTTGATCCGTGCTGGCCCATGCCTTCTGTTGGTGGTGGGGAGGTGGTGGGGTGGGTTTGTCTCTCCTGAAGCTTGTGTGCTGGCCCATGCCTTCTGATGGTGGGGCACTCCTCTAGGGGAGGTGGTGGGGTGGGTTTGTCTCTCCTGAAGCTTGGGGCTACTGCTTGTGGGGCTGCTGCTCACCAGGCAAGCACTGAAAAAGCTGCTGCTTGTCCAGCCCGGGGCTGGTGTCTGATGGGCAGGGTTTGCTGTGCTGCACAGTTTGTCCTTGCACGCTCCCAGGGCAGGAAAGGCTCAGTTCAGGCTGCTGTGGGACACAGCTCGGAGCACCTGCTGGGGAGGCTGCAGGGCTGGGCTCCCTGCGGAAATCAGGGCTGTGAGCAGTGTCCCAGCCATGCCTGGCAGGGGCTGCTTGGACTGGGCTGCTTGGTCACGCACAGGCAGGATGGACAAAAGGCAAACACCCCGCAGACTTTGTCATGGAAAAGTGATAGGCACATTCCCGGCTTGAATAAATAAAATGTTTAGATCTCTTTCAGATGCTGCCTAGGACTCACAAAACAGTCCTGATCAAACATTCAGGCCCAGAACCTCGAGGGTGCTTCAGCATCTGTGCTGCTGACATTCCCTGGCATACTCTTAACCCTTTTTAGGTCTCTCAAGTGTGAGTAGAGCCACTCAAACACAGGTGCTGCTGCCTGGCACAGCCCCAGAGCTGCAGGTGAGGGTCTCAGGCAAGGTGTGTCCAGATCTGGGCTTTGCTAGCACAAGCCAACCTCCCTGTACTGTGTCAGTGCCCTGGCTGCTCATCCTGTTCCCAGGGGATGCTGCTGCCCATTGAGTTGTGTGTTCTCTTCTTGTCCCCACCCTGAGCTCAGGCCTGGTGCTGTAGCCCTTCAGCTGGAGACTCTCAAGCACCCACAGCCAGCTTGAGGCACTGGTAGGGTCCCCCAGACTCGATGGGATGCTCTGTCAAGGCACCCACTGAGCATCTTCCCCAAATAATGGTCTGAGAGCATCCCAGCTTGGTGCTTTCATTCATTGCTTCCACAGCCCACTCTTTATTTTGCAAATTTTGAACTGCACTGATTGCAGCACAAGCAGCAGAGTTTCCCTATCCAAGGGAAGCATTTCTGTGACACTGCTGAGTCCATTGCTCTGGTGAGAGAGAGACTGTAGAGGCTGTCACCAAGGGCACCTCAGTGAATGCTCAGAGTGCCAAGGACAGAGAGAGGATGTTTTGGATGTCCCAGAGGTGCTGCCCTATGTGGCCCAGCAGCTCCTTCCCTCTCCCACACCCTCATGTACCAAATGTGTCTCCCCTGTACAGCCCAGTAAGGCTCAGGGAAGTGTGAAAGTGCTGCTAACATCAAAGGGAAATAAAAATCATAGTGAGAAATTCTGGGTGGAGCACAGGTTTTCAAGGGCTGTTGTATCTTGCAGAGCCCTGGTGTGATTTATTTTTAGTGCTGAATATCTGGCCCTCCATCTCATTTCCCACACGTGTTGTTTGCCCCCTCATTTATTTGTTTCCCACCATACAAGGAGGGCAGACACTCTCTACTCTCTGTTATAACTCAAATTGGGCACGGTAGCTCCAACAGCTTGTTGAAACACACTCGTGGCTAGAGCCCAGCTGTTGTGGCACAGCTTCTCTGACAGGAGCACAGAGGGTTTTCCCCACCTGCCTGCAGGCTCCTGTGAGCCCAACACAGCCTGCATCCCTGGATGCAACCCAGAAATGGCTAAGGGATGAGCAGGCTGTGGTGCTGCTGCTGTCAAGCTTGCAGGAGGGGAGCTTTCCCTTCCAGCTGCCAGTTGCTAGGTTTGGGGCTCAGCACTGATCCCATCCAGGAGTGTCCATCTTTGGCTTTCCCTGCTGCAGAGGAGCTGCATCCTCTGCCACCATCAATTCGATGTCTCAGGAAAAGGTGCTGAGCTCCTTGTCCCTCAGGTAACGAGGCCTTCTGCAGGTGGCAGGAAGCAGAGGCTTTTGCATGAGCAGAAGTGCTGTACTTCTGTGGTCCATAAATACACCCCAGTGTGGGGGATCTGCTCTCTTTGCCGTGTCATGGCTGTGGGGGCTTTTTTTGGCAACACCCAGGGTTGGCATGGAGGAGGAGGTGTCAGCAGCCCATAAAAGCACAAGCAGGGAAGGAGTGGGAAGCAGAATGTGTGGGTGTAAATGTGAGCTTATCTCCTGCAGTGGCTGTTCCCCTGCCACCCCCAAGCTCTGCTAGCTTTAATCATCTTAGAGCTGTGCAAAAACTCTGCATAGGTCAGGTGCAGGATGTTTGAGCAGCTGCATTGCTGAGCTGGAGGATCTAAACCCCTTGCACTTGGGCTTTGTGGAGGTGGCAGACAGCTCCCAGTGGCCACAGCTCCTGACCCCAGGGCAGCTCCTGACCCCAGTGACTGCTCCATCCCCCTCTGGTGTGTCCTGGAGCAATGATGTGTTTCACATCTGGGCTTGATATATTCAGAGAATGCACGGCCACTGCATATTCAGTAAGGCATGATAAGTTCATTTAACAAATCTTCCAGATCATCTGTGAGTGTACACTGCTCTAACCTCCTGTTTAATGTGCTGGTGATTGTGGTATTGAAGTTTATTCCTGATCTGCTGCTTTCTCCTTTCCTGCCTGCTTTGACAGAAAACAGAATTCTATTTTAGATCTATACCAGGTAATTATGTTTGCTTGGCATGTTGCAGTGCTCCTTGTTACATTGCATTCAGAAGTGTTAGGCAGGCAGGGGAAAGTGCCATGACAGGTGGAGTAAAATCACATTGCAGCCCAGCTGTAGCCCCCCAGGTCCCTTCCTCCGAGAGTCCCAGGGCTTGTGGTTCATTCTCCCAAGTATTTGACCTGGCTACAGAGCAGGATCCTGACATAAATGCCTGAGTTAAGCAGAGACAGGTAAAGTGATGAATCTCGCCCAAATATTGACTCTATACAGGTGGGAGAAGGTGGCACAGATCCTCTCCTGGAGGTGGGAGAGATGAATTACCAGGAGGTAAATAAAGTGTCTGCTGAGTCCTGGGAGGGCTCTTGGCTTGGATAACTTATGGCCTGTTGTGCCTTTACTGCAGAAAGGCTGTTTCAAAAGGTGTTTGCAGAGCTGTGTGCAAGTTCATTGTGCACATTTTATGTGGCTGGAGGAGCTTTATCAGGATGAATGGATCCATGAGCACAAAGGGGAAATTAAGCAGGACTCCCTGCCACGTCCTTGCCTTTCTGTGTGCACTGTGCAGGCTTCCCATGAGATCACAAGGAACTGCAGGAGCCCTGCCTTGGGCAGCAGCCTGTGGGAAACATGGCACAGGGACTTCAGCAGGACATGAGCAGCTCCCTGTCCCTGTCCTGGCTGTGGGAGTGGGAGCTCCAGACAAAATTTACTAGAGAAACCCTGTCACCGAGTCACAAGGTGCAGAGAGGACCCCCTTGCTTTTTAAACTTCTCAGAGAGGAGCCTGAAGGTGTCTGGATGCAATCTTAGCCTCAGACTGTCAACAATCCAAATAACTTTGACCTTCAGGATTTAAAGATGGCAAATCAGATATGTTTATATAAAACAAATTATTTATTATGACAAATGATTAGACAAAAGATCCTAACCAGAATTACTAACTACACAGAATAAAAGCTGAAACTACTGATAGTTATGTAGTATAACATAGTGCACTAAATTAATGCAATTGTATTAAAAGTAGCAAAAAGAAACATTGATGTAATTCACCACGCCAACACTGAGAGTGGACAGGTCTCTTTCTCTTAACATTGAGGAGTAACCTTGAGGGGTGTCCCCACTCAAGGGAGAATCTCCACACACTGTTCAAAAGCGGTATCTCAGAAGAACCTCTTGTATGGAAAGTGGACTGGATTTTGAGAATGTAAAGGAGCTGTCAGTCATATCTTGCAGGCCAGTTTAGCAGCTTATCTGCCAAAGATTTGCCTTGCTGTCGGGATGCTGATTTGGGCTTGGTGTGCCTGACAGAGTTTCAGCTGAATTCAACACCAAAACAGCACCTAGGACCCCTCTCAATCCACCCTGACAGATTTGCAAATAGGACATTGTCCACTGAGTTCTTGACCACATTCCAGGTCAAAGCATGCGGGGCCATGGGGGGAAAGCATCCTGCCACAATTCCACAGGATAGAAATGACCCCACAGATGGGCTGGAGCAGAGCAGAGCTGCTCCCCAGCTGCTGGGAAATGCAGCAGGAGCCCACACTCTCCCAGGGCTCCCTGGCTGTGCGTGCCCACATCACTGCCACCCTCAGGTGGCACCATCAGCAGGGAGGGCAGGCTGAAGGTCCAGGTGCTGCCAGCCTTGGGTATCCCCATCTGCTGTGTGACATGGGAGCAGCAGCTGCTCCTGGGGTGCACTCTGGACACTAGTGATGCCCTGATGCACAGAAGGGCTGCTGGAAGGCAGGAGGGAGGGCAGGGCTCCCCTCACCCTGCAGAGGAAGATGATGCAGCCCTGTTCAGGCTTCAACAGCAGTGGTTTTTCCCGAACAGAGAATCCTGAGCACAGCTGGCCGCTTTTAGTCAAGGCCAAGAGTCACAGAGGGGATGTGGGAAACATGGATCCAAGTCCCTCTTCAGTTTTAATTAATACAGATCTGAGCCCAGCTTCCCTTCCCTTCTCCAAGACTGCTCTGGGTATTGTGGAGAGTTACCAGCAGCCCAAATGATGTTGTTTTTCAGCACTGCATCCATACACGTCCTGCAGTGGGAAGCAGGAACTTGTTTCCCTGGCAAACACCCAGCCCCTCACTGCTCCTTTCTTGCTGGAAATGTTACTGTTTGATTGGCATGAGAGAGACATGAAACCACATCTGCAGGATGGGCTGGGAGAGGCCTTGTGAGCTGTAAAATCCAGTGGCGTGGACAGACTTGGAGAGGATCTCTGTCCTGCTCTTACCAAGCAGCGGAAGAATTTGACCTTGATGGAGGCCATGCCCCGGGCTCCTTGTCCTCTTTGTGTGGGGTCTGTGTGATGTCTTACAGGGCTGCTGGCAGAGGTTTGGGCTGACAGATGAGTGCACTGGCCCGTAGATTGCTGTGCACTGCATCTGCTTCAGGCTGCCTACCCTAGAGTGTGCTGTTCCCTTTCAGAAATGCTCCTGCTGCAGCTGCAGCTCCTGAGCCACTCCTGCAGCACGGCTTGGCCTTCAGGCACCACCTGGGCTGGGACTGAGGTCTGGTGTCCAGCTTGACCCTCTCTTCTTCTTGCTGTTTTAGTGGCTTTAATTCGTCACTTTCCACATGGGTAAGTGGCTTTTTGGTGGCTATTTCTTGCCAAGTGCTGCTGCTGGCTGCCTTGTCTCATCCACAGACCAGGTGGTGAAAATTCCTCCTGCAGGATTGCTCCTGCAGGCAGCTGCTGTGCCCTTGGGGTGGGTTTGGGCATCGTGAGGTGCTCTCAGTCCACAGTCAGATGTCCATGAGGAACGTGTCCCCACTCAGACCACTCTGTGATGGCAGCCCATGTGTGTGCAGCCTCATCCACAGACCAGGTGGTGAAGATTCCTCCTGCAGGCAGCTGCTGTGCCCTTGGGCTGGGTTTGGGCATCGTGAGGTGCTCTCAGTCCACAGTCAGATGTCCATGAGGAACGTGTCCCCACTCAGACCACTCTGTGATGGCAGCCCATGTGTGTGCAGCAGGGTCATGGCTCAGGGGGGATGGTGCTGTGAGCTTGGGACCCTCCTTGCTGAGCATACACAGGGAGAACCTCATGGGGGGAGCCACACGAGCAGCTCTTCTGTCCAAGGGGTGTCTTGAAATGGTGTTGTTGTTCTGCAGGGCTGGGAGCAGGAGAAGGCAGGCTGGCAAGGACATGGCACAGCACCCTGAGGGGGCTGAGCCTGCTGTGAGGGAGAACTGGAGCTTAATGCCTGGGCAAAGTTTGGTGGCCTCAGTCTACACAAAAATGAAACCCCTGCCTGCAGATGGAAATCTGTCCTCTCTTCTGAGCAAGGGTGAGCTCTTCAGCTACTTGCTCTTGGAGTCCTGGTTTGCTCCTCAGCTGCTTCTGCATCTCCTGTGGGCAGCCACACCACGCGTGCACCAAGTGCTATTTCTGGTGGCGGTGCAGGCTGTGCTGCAGCTGCAAACCCCAGCACAGCCACACTGCTCCATCCTGTCTGCTCACAGCTCTGTGATCCTACCACAGGGCACATCCTCCCTGCCCCAAACTCACCCCAGCCGGGGCTGTGTGTGACCATCCTGTGTGCAAGCTGCTCCCGCAGGCAGTGCTGACAACAGGAGCTCTGCAGGGAAATGCTGAGGCTGTTCCTCCAAAGGTCACCCTGGTGATTACGAGCACAGGAAAGGCTCAGATGTGTGACAAAGCTGTGGCTGTGAGATGAGGGGAAGCGTGCACTGTGACTGCTGTTACAGGAGCTCAGGAAACCAAAGCCTGTGGAAGGAGGAGGGGCTCGGGCGCTCTGTGGCACGAGGACCTCACCCCCAGCACTGGTCCCATGGATGCAAGCAGCTGGTAGGGATAAAAACCAGGGCAGTGAAGATGTTCAGCCACCAGAGTCAGGCAGCAGCTCTGCTCCTTCACTGCCCTGGGAAGGCAGCACTTGGCTGGAAGCGTTGGGATGTGCAATGCTTGTGTTCCAGCTGATCCAGCACTGGTGTCGTCAAAGCTGCATGGCTGTCTTGCCATCCTGTCAGAGAACGTGAGCCCTGCTGAGGGCCATGGTGGTGCCCACAGGTAAGTGGCTAAAGCGGATGAGATGAGAGCTGTCACCTCCAGTTAGGTAAAATTAGTCCCACCAGCTGTTCTTGGACAAATTTGGAAAATAACAGGAATATTTTAATATACAAGAAGCAGTCCCCAGTGATAATTTAAAATAATATCATTGTATATTAGAGATAGGAGCTACCTACAGGTCCTTAAGTCATTATCACATGAAATGCCCCTGGCCATGAAGACATGGACTTTTAGAAGCAATCTTTTCTCCGAGTCTACACAGGATTGTCCTGCAAGGCAGACTTGTCCTCACTGCCAGCTGGTGAAGCTGTGCCAAAGTTTATGTCCCCACAGCACACACCTCTGGAGCAGAGCAGGCTTCTTCAATCAGGACTCAATTCTCCAAATTCTTTTGGTAGAAGATCAGACAAAAAAAGCCATTGTTTTTTTTTCAGTGGCAGCATGTCTCTGCATCTTTAGTCTTGCCTCCACTGCTCTCTTGACCTCTGGCTTCTCTGACTTCCCAGAGATTAAAAAGAGCAGGATAGATCATGAGAAGAAACGTTTGGTGGCAAAAAAATTTAACAGCAGAGAGCTGCAGTAGCACAGTCTGTAGCTTCTCACTGTACTTCCAGCCTGGCAGCCACAGCAGTTTCCCAACACTGAGCATCTCCAGTGTGCCCTACCCTCAGCATAAATCATGCTCTAAATAATACTGAGGTATGGTTTAGTGCCCAAGTTTGTTTCTTTAGAGAATACATGCTGGTCTCCTTTATGTACACTCTGGTGTTTAAGCTTTCCTACCTAAGATGACAACAAACTTCTCCTTTTCAGGCCTCTTTCTCCCATTGTCATGCCCTTTCGGGGCCAAGGGTTATCAGGAAATGAGTCAGGAGTCACCAGAAGTTCACGAGGTCACTAGGTGCCCTGCTTGGTGCACCTGCAGTGCCCTGCTGAAGCCACTCACAGGGCAATGCTCCCTGACTTTCCTAGAAACTGGGACCTCAACTGCCTCCCAATCCCATCTCCCCAGCCTGCCCCCAGCACATGCTGAGCTGTGCTCTGTGCCAGGGGCTGGAGCTGTGCAAGGCTGCTGCCCATGGATGGTGCTCACAGTGCTGTGAGCTGTGGAACTGCTGCTGCTCTGGGCAGGCAGGAGCTCTGGGGTGCCAGCGTGGTGTGGCTGCTGAGGCTGGGGCTGGGAGGGCTCATGATGGGGCAGGAATGGGCTCTTCCAGCTGTGTGGCCTCCAGCCACAGTAGGAAATGCAGAGTGGGGCTGGGCTGGCTGCAGTCACTGCCCTGTGTGTGTGGGGTGGACGCTGATGGCACAGCTGCTGTCAGAAGCTCCTGCAGGAGCAAATGCTGTCTGTGCAGGTCTCTGGTGGGGCTGCCTGCTGCAGCAGCTCTCTCAGAGGTGTTCCCTGCCTGCCTTCCTCCAGCTGCTGCTGCAGCTGGCTTTGGCAGTGTCACCTCATCCGCACGTGGCTGCTGATTGCTCAGTAGGCACCTACTGCCACTGCCCCCTGCTCCAAAGGGGCTGCTGAGGTGCTCACAGTTTATCAAACCCACCAGTCCCCAAACCATCAGCCCCCAGCCACCTGCTGTGCATAACAGAGGGTCCCAGTGCCCTTTATTTGGAATTGTGTCGGTCCTGCAAGCTGCTCCTCTGAGGGAGGTGGTTCTGCTGACCACAGAAACACTTCCCAGGGCTCAGTGGTCCTTCATGTCCCATCCCTCCAGCCCTTATATGTGCACATGGAAAAAGACCAGTGAGGCACAGGAGAGCCCCAACATCTCACAGAAATGTGAGATTCTGTGGTGCAGACCAGCCCCTCCTCGTTCCCTGAGAGCAGGTTTAGTGTTGCTGTGTAAACCCAGCTGCAGGTCTAATCCCTGGGGAGCTGCCAGCTGCTCAGACACCAGTTTGTCCCCAAATCCCACACACTCTCCTCGCCCTCTGCCTTCCCCCTTGCCAATAGCATGTGTGCACCTGGGGAGAGACATTCCTGGCATCCCTGATAAGGCCGTTGCAAATACTGGGGAAGAAAGAAGTGGGAATAGCACTTTCTCCTCCTCTCCTCTCAGTTTCTTCATGGCTGTAAGGTCAGTGATCTCCTTTCTGTGGTCAGGGAGGTTGTGGCTTCCTGGTATTCCCATGGGAATCAGGGCTTCCAGGGCAGACATCAGCTGCTTCAGCATTGGTGAGGACCCAGCTGGTGCTGGTTCTGTCACCACAAGGTCTCCAGCAGCTTCAGCTCTGTGCTGGAGGCTGCAATGTGCCCATCTATGGCTTTGCAAATCTCTTTCCTCCTCTGCAAAACAGCGCTGTGCAAAGCACTGAAGAGCAAAGCTGGAGGGTTTATTACAGCAGGTGGTGGGGAAAGGCTTAAAATCTAAAATTCAGCTAAAATCTGTGCTCTATGGGTCACCCCCTGCCCTCCAGCCTGCCCCCAGCACAGCCTGCTTACAGACTGTTGGGACAGACAAATTTCCTGAGGTGCCAGCCAGATGCCTTAAGACTGAGGGAAAGCCAAACCAAAATAAACCTGGTGTAGCTGGGTGCTTTAATTTGCAGGAAGAGCTGTGCAGCAGCAGGCTGAATCTTTCTTGTTGCATCAAGCATAAATTCATCAGGTATTCCATTTCCTGGAAAAAAAAATAAAGCCGAATAATTCACTTGGAAATAAAGAGTGGAGCTATTTTTCCCTCTGACATGGTGAATGCAATTACCTAAGGCATGGGAGGCTGAGATAACTCACTGATTCAGCCCCCACTCTCCAAAGAAACCATCATCATTCTGTCAGAAAAGGCTTTAAACTCCAATTCACATCCTGAATGCTAAAACATCACCACATACAGAAGCTGTCCTTATGATTTCCATGCACCAGCTGCTGCATCATAAGGAAAACACACTCATAGACAGGTCTGAATTTATTATTGTCAAGGCCATATACACAGTGCAAGTTCCCTGTGTTTGCTGTCAGCTGCTGCATCACAAGGAAAACACATCATAAACAGGTCTGAATTTATTATTGTCAAGGCCATATACACAGTGCAAGTTCCCTGTGTTTGCTGACCCTTTTTCCCATGCTGTTGGTGTCTCCTTGTCCATCAGGAGCAATTCCTAGTGAAGCAAAGCCCACTGGCACCCTGTTAGTAGTGTGTGAGCCACGCTGGTGCTGGGAAAATGTGCATGGGGGTTGAGAATCTTGGGCTGTGTCTGTTTGGAAAGCTCAATGCAGGCAAGCCATAAACCTGTGATTGCCCCCAAATTTAATTCCATTTAGGCAGCACTCTCCCACCTCTTCTGCCATTACATAATGGGGAGCAGAGTAATGACTTTCAGCAATATTGTTTGAGTGGCAGCAGTCCAATTCTGGACTGTATTTTTTTTTTAATGGTGGGGGGAGAGCAGGTTGGCAGAGGGGAGAAAGCATCCGTTTGGTTCGTCTGCAATCCCTGTTTCGCTTCGGGAGCTTTAGAGGACAGACACATTCTTCCATCTCCGCTAATCCTCCTCTGATACAGAGGATTTTCCTGCCATTAAATGATAGCTTGTGAGAAAAAAATGCCAACTTTTCAGAGACTGACTCGTATGGCTAAGGGCAGCCTCATGAGCAGGAGGGAGGACACAGCCACTGCCTGGCCAGGTAAGCAACGCATCCGGGTGATTTCTGTTGGGAATTTTGGTTCCCACTATTTGATGCTAAGCTGGTTACACTCCTCTGTACCAGCACCTATTTCCTGGGGATAGAGCCAGTCCCTTACTGTTGATGATCCTTTCCCACCTCAGATGAAAGGAATCTGCCTTTGGCATGGCTTGTGGGAAGGACGCAGATGAGCTCCTGAAAAGCAGTGGCACAAAGCTGCAGGATTCCCCGAGAAGGTCAGTGGTGGAAGAAAGATACTCACCAGGAAGGTGCTGGGGACTTCTTCAGTTTGAAAGTGTGTGAGAGAAGAGTGTTTTCCTTCATCTTCCTTTCTAAACATAGATCTTTTTGTGGAAAAATGATGCAGGGAAATGACAGAGGATGAGACCCGTCTCTATTCTTCCTGTGTGCTTTTAGATCCCTTAAGTTTACTTGCCAGACCTGAAATGCCACTGGAGAATAATCAAGGTAATGTTTGCCATCGTTCTAAATGGTGAGTATACTCTTATTATGCATTATCCAGTAGTGGATTAGACAGATCATTTGGAAAGGTGGTGGCTAAATATTCAATTAGTTACAATCATTGTCTCTTTACCCTTCTTAAGAATCTGCAACATTTCTTTTTTGTTTCTTTTCCTTTGGTCTCTCTCACTCTTTTTTCCTAAATACTGAGTTACTGTAGTATTTAAAAGAGTGAAAGATATCATCCATAGAAGGAATTTTTTTTATTCTTTAATGTCACAAATGTTTTTGACCTTACTGCTCTATTTCACCCTTTTGCTCAAACACACATCTCATTTGAGTGCTCAAATGTGTCACTGAGGGGCTGAAAGCTTCCAGTGCTGCCATTTTTTAGAGAAGGGGAAGGAGTGAGGTGGGAAAGATGGGAATGTTTCAGGCTATGTTAATCAGAGGAGATCTCGCCAACGGGGAAGAGCTGATCTCTTTTTCCTTGCACAACAGCTCTCCAAGGGTTTGGTAAGGTTCATTGGAAGATTTTTCTCAACTTTCTTGCCAGGGGAAAGAGGGGAAATTGCCCACAAAGGCTGCATTGCTGAGGGGTTTCTCTGAGCTCCAGTTTTCTCATTGGATGGTCCTCACACTCTTGCTGTCCATGTCCCACACATTGCAAAGATGCACTTGTAAAAAGAGATCTTAGAAGCCTGCTGTGAAATGCCACTAGCAGAAGACCCAGATTTGGCACCTGTGTATAATGAAAACAGGCTGGATATGGCTGGGGGGCAGACATTTCCTTTATTGAGTGATTAGAGGAGAAGCAGGGTGGGGAAGGAGGGGATCTGATTATCAGCAGGCTCATTCCTACACTGCCCACCATGTGCACAGCAGTGGGTGGAGGTCTGCTCTGAAGGCCAGGGATGGGACTGAGCTTGGGTAGCTGGAGCTAAACATGGATCTTGCTCAGGACAGCCTCACCTATAGGACAGCCTCTGCACAAATGCCCCTCTGGATGTCACCCTGAACCCACACAAGGCTCCCTACCAGCAGCAACCCTAGCATCCATGATTTTCCAGACAACCACCTGCAGTCAGACATTTGGGAACAGGCAAATCTTTAATCTGTCTGGCCCTCAGTTTATGTAACTCCTAACAAAAACAACATATGCCCCTGTTGGCACGCAGAGGATGGACTGGTGCAGAGGGGAGCAAACGAGGCAGCCCCTGGGCAGGCTGCACAAAGAAAGAGCAATCTGAGACCAGCTTCTTGTCCTTAAACTCCAGCTGTTGTCAGGAGGATTGAAGGGGACTTTCCTTTAGCTGTTGCTGTTAGATAAGGGCATGGGAAAAAGAGGAAGAGCAGACAAACAAAATGACAACCTGTCTAAAATACTTTCCACCTCCCAGAGTCCTTCACTATCATTTATCCTTGAAGTGATGTTGTTTTGCTAATTCTCCAGTCACAATAGTGTGCCCAGGCATGATGAGACCTGAATTTTGATGAAGAGGCCACAGCTCATCCTTTTGTCATGCTCTCTGTGTATTTAAATGCCTTTCCTACATGCAATAACCAGAATGGTTTGAACAGACCCAGGCTCCAGGGCAGCTCCTGGGTTGATGCCCTTCAGCAGGGCCTTGCCCAACAACTGGTTTTGCAAGTCTCTTTTACACAGGCAGTGTAAAGTCCTAAATACAGCCCCATGCATGTTGTCTTTAGAAAGGATGGAGGAAAGGCAGAGCAATCGTAGCCCAAACTGTCTTTTGTCCTGTACATTAAAGCCTTAAGGACTTCAAAAATAAAACTTGATGCTTGCTGAAGCTGATGCTTCTTGGCATATCACCTCACAAGTCTGTTTTATTAAAAATGCCCATGAGAATACAGCTGTAGAGGGCAATCCCTGTCCTGCAAACCACAGGGAGAGGCAGCCCAGCTGCTGGGAGTTTCCCCTCTGGACACTCAGCAGGAGTATGGAGGAACCCCTCCTGATCCCAGCAGCCCAATAATAGAGGTGGCTGTTGGTAAATCTCTTGGTATCTCATGTTTTGCTGAAAAAAAAAAAGAAAAGGGTTATGTTTGTATGGCAGCTGATAAACTGCAGCAGAAAACCATTTTGCAGCACCATTTCATGTTTATGACTACATGGAGATCGCTGGTGTGGCTGCTCATTTTGTGGAGGAGAAGGAAGGGTGTGTCCGGGAGAGCAATTAGGAAAACTGCCTTCAGTTCTTCCTCTCTAATGAGTTTATAATCATGGAATCAGAGAAAGGAAGGGACCTAAAAGATCATCTCATTCCAAGCCCCCTGTCAAGAGCAGGGACACCTTCACTAGACCAGGTTTCTCAGAGGTTCATCCAGCCTGGCCTTGAGCGCTGCCAGCGTTGGGGCATCCACAGCTTCTCTGGGTGTCCTGTGCCAATGCCTCACCACCCTCACTGTAAAGAATTTCTTCCATATATCTAACCTAATTTTTTCTCTCTTTCAGAGGGGAAAAGCATTTTGCAGTAAAAAAATAGGAGTTTTCAGATTTTTTTTGACTGGATGTTTTTTCCCTGCAAAACCCCTGTCTGTGGAGGCTGATGTCTGAGTCCTTTTGCTCCCTTTTGTTCTTCTCTCATTTCTCCCAAGAGCCTTCTTCTCTTCCTTGTTGTTCACCCACGTGTGTGGGACTAACCTGGGAGGAAACAACCTCCCATGTCAGGCTGATAAAGGACAAAGTGGCTGCTCCCATCAAACATAAGGCACTATGGTGACTTTTGAGAATTGGCAAAGCAGCAAAAACTGTGCTGGAAATGCAGAGTTTCTCATCTATGATGAGATCATGAAGCCAGCAGTTGAACAATATATCTTAGTTTGTTTTCACTCACACTGTCATAGCAGTACACAGTGGGAATGTGTTTTCAAACACTGCATTTAATCTCCTTGAGAGCTGAGTTTCCCTTCCAGTGCTGCACCAGCTCATGGCTCTGGTGGAGAAAGAAAAGAAAAGAAAGAAAAGAAGGAAAAAAAGAAAAAGAAAAGAAAAGAAAAGAAAAGAAAAGAAAGAAAGAAAGAAAGAAAGAAAGAAAGAAAGAAAGAAAGAAAATTTGACAAATTTTGGGCAAATAATTGATCTCCCCTGCCCACTGTCAGACTCAGGATATACTGCCATCCCCTTTTCCACACCCAGGAATGCTGTAACCCACCCACAGCTGCTGTCCTTCAATGCATTTCTGCCTACTCCCTGGCCAACCCATGTCCCCATCAGGCAGCAGAGAGAGCCCAAAAGAGACACTTGAGAAATACTGAATTCTAGGTGAGCCCCGTCCTGGGGAGAGGAATTAATCAGAGGTTATGTTCTAGGTGACATACATCCTCAGCAGGTTTAGAAAGTCCAGGAGATCTTTAGAAATTTTACACAAGAGCTCCTCAGTCAGCACTGGTGTACAGGTGGCAATTAGCTGGGCTGAAGGGGAGGAAAAGAGAGTGCAATTTCTTTTTACCGCTCTGACTAATTAATTTGCTAACGATGCATTCTTTTCTCTCCTGCCCTTCCTCTGTGGGGATGGCAGTGATCCTTTGGGTCCCACAGGCGCATGGGGTGTGGGCCTGCGTGCGCTCCTGCCCTCCCAGCTGCGTGTGCACCCCGGAGAGGAGCTGCTCCGTGCTCTGCGACCGCGCCGGGCTGGGGCAGATCCCCAGCGAGTTCCCCTGCGAAGCCTCCTCCATCAACCTGGATAAAAACAGCATCAAGTTCCTGTCTGAGAGGGCCTTCGGGACGCTGCCTTCCCTCAAATCCCTGTCACTCAACCACAACAACATCTCCTTCATCACGCCGGGCGCGTTCAAGGGGCTGCCCAGCCTGACGGAGCTGAAGATGGCCCACAACGAGTACATTCGCTATCTGCACACTCGGACCTTCACCGCGCTCCGGCGCCTCGTGAGGCTGGACCTGGCCGACTGCAACCTCTTCAACATCCCAGACAGGATCTTCATCGAGCTGCCTTCTCTGCAGGAGCTGTTCTGCTTCCAGAACAACTTCCGAAGGATCCCGGGCGCCATCAGGGGCATGGAGAACTTGACCCATGTGTACCTGGAGAGAAACAGGATCGAAGCGGTGGCCTATAACTCCCTGCAGGGCCTGACCAAGCTGAAATACCTGAATCTGCAGGACAACAAGATAAATGTCATCCACGAGCGAGCTTTTCAGGGCTGTCAGAGGATGGAGTACCTGTACCTGAATGACAACTTGATCAGTGAGCTTCCAGAAAACTCTTTTGATGGCCTGAGGCGCCTGAAGATGCTCAACCTGGGGGGGAATTTTCTCAGGAACATTTCCAACACCTGGTTCCGGGACTTGGGGGAGCTGGAGTTCCTCTACCTGGACCGCAACAGGATCAGCTACATCGAGGAAGGGGCTTTTGAGAACCTCACCAGCCTGGTGGCCCTGCACTTGAACAGCAACAACCTGACGACACTGCCCTTCTCCGTGTTCGAGCCCGTGTACTTCCTGGGGCGGCTGTACCTCTTCCGCAACCCCTGGGAGTGCGACTGCCGCATCGAGTGGCTCAAGGAGTGGATGGAGAACTACAGGCTGGTCAGGGATATTCCGTGTGCCTCCCCCTCCTCCGTGGCTGGGGTTGATCTGACGGACGTGCTCTTCGAGAGGTCTCCCGAAGGTTACTGTCTCGATCCGGAGGAGCTGAACATCACGTCCGAGCGGCCGACCCCAAGCGAGGAGCCTTGGTCCACCACGGAGAGCAAGTTCAACAGCCTTATCTCCAAACTCTTGCTCCAAATGGGCCTTCCCGAAGAGGTGGCAAATGCCACTGAAGTGTACAGTAACAGCACGCAGCCGGACGGACAGACTGAAGGGGTTTCTTCTGGCGTGGGGGAGGACAGAGCTGAGGCTGACTCCTCTTCCTTGTACCCCCCAGCACTTTTGACAGCGATTGTTCTGCTGTGCAAATAGTCCAAGGGCTGGATGGAGCAGGAGTTCTGCTCAAGTGTTTAGACCCTGCACCTACTTAGTCATCAGAGAAAAGTTTTATTTTGGGCTTCTGATATGTAAAGGGCTCCAAACTCTTCCAGGCTGGGTTTGTTGGATCTGGCTCCAGATTCCCCTGGGAGCTGGTGAGATCCGGGTCCCACTCTGGGTGACAAACCTGCCCTGTGGGTGTCCCAGAGCTTCCTGGCTACCCACAGGGAGATGAGCAGCACTATGATTGTGCCTGGAGATGTGTGATGTTCTGCTGGGAAAGGAGGGAAGAGGGCTCTGTCTGTGGGGTGTTTGTCCCTCAGGCCAGCTTGAGAGAGCAAGATGTTCCATGGTGACTCAGCTTCATGAGAGAGCAAGATGAGGCTGCAAAACTGGGCCCCTCTTCACGTCCTGACAGACACCCACACCCACGGCAGATGCTGCTGAACAACAGGAAATTATTCCTGATTTCCGCCAGTGGGTGCAGGAGGGAGCAGGGCAGTCCTGGACAACGTCCAGGGATGCCGCAGGAAATGTACAGGCCTCATGGAAACATCCAGGGAACACGTACAGGCCTCATGGAGACATCCAGGGAACACGTACAGGCCTCATGGAGACATCCAGGGAACATGTACAGGCCTCATGGAAACTTCCAGGGAACATGTACAGGCCTCATGGAGACATCCAGGGAACACGTACAGGCCTCATGGAACCATCCAGGGAACACGTACAGGCCTCATGGAGACATCCAGGGAACACGTACAGGCCTCATGGAGACATCCAGGGAACATGTACAGGCCTCTTGGAAACGAGGAAAGTGCCTGGGGGGACACCTGCCCATTCCACATCTGGAATGGGCACAGTATTTTGGCTGTGACCACAGGCAGGATTTTGATCCTTTCTCCCCCCCTGTTATTCTGATACTGGTGCAGGAGAGCCAGATGGAGCCGTGTTTTTCCCAACATTCTTCTCTGAGGCAAAGCTACTTAACCTACTTATTCCCATAATTTCAATGTGTTTAATTTTTCAGTGAATATATTGCTTCAAGGAATACTTATTTTTAAATTTGTAGATTGTTTCATGGCATGGCAGCAGGGGCAGAGCATGGTGATGATGAATGCAACAAGGCCCTATGAAATATTTTGTATTTCCACCATAATATGTATCTTGTAGTGTTTCATATTATGCCATATTGATAATTTTCTTTTATATAACATCTTAAGTGTTTTATCTTTGAACTTCTCAACACCAGCTGCTAATATGACCAGAAAAAATGATGTTTTATGTATCAAAGCATATTAATAAAATAATTTGATATTTTACTCACAAAAATAAATGAACTGCTCAAACCTAGGTTTTGGGGTTTTTTTGAGATCCTTGAACAACTCTGGTTAGATTTTTTTGTAGGCTACTCAAATGGGTGCACATGAGTGTCCTTTCATGGCCTAGAGCAAATGGCAAGCTATTTATTGCAACATAAGTACTTTCACTTAGAGCCTGACTGTGCTTATGTTTGTGTTAAGCAGCAGCACTTGAAAATATAAGTGACTATATAGAGATACATTTCTGTCCAAAAAGATCTACTGCTTTCTAATTAGTGCCAGAGATTTCCAGAGGAAAGCTGAGTCCAGGGAAAACCAAGCTTGCAATGGCTTCTCAGTTATCTGTAGCTCGACCACAGTTTCCCCAGGGAATCAAAATGCCAGATGGTTTGATAAATGCCTATTTGACCTGTTCCGTGAACTAAATTCAATGAGTTTGGATTTCCAGGCTATTTATGAATCCATTAATCTTCTTAAGTGCTAAATTCATCTGAGTATTATAAGAGGCTGTTTTTCAAACCTAGTCCAGCCTGGTGCTGTAGAGGCATATTAGGTTAAGGATGCCTTTACAGGAGCACTGTTTCATCCTGTCAGGGGAGGTTTATCAATAGGCCTGGCACAGATGTAGGACACAAATGACTGTATTTCACTTTCTATAAGTACAGACACCTCATGAGTGAATTGTTTTTATAACCCACATGTTCATTTTCCATGGTGGGGCACAATAAAGCTGAAGATCACCTTCCTGTGCAATTGCTGAGTGGCTTTCAAGTTAACCAGTGCTTCAAAGGTGCTCCTGCTTTATCTTCAAGATGCAGATCTGAATGTGAAGCGTCTTAAAATGTTGGTTTTAGCAGAGATTGTGCTGTCAGGTGATGGGCAAGAGGGCTGTACATTGTACTCAGCTGTGTGACAGCAGGGACACTGACCTTGGGGCTGATGGTTTAAGTGTCTCTTGTGTTCAGACACCTGCCTGGCCCAGAGAGCTTTCCCTGTGCTGCTCTGACACAGCCTGGAGAGTGCTGGCTGACCTTGTGCTGGGTGTAATGTCTTCATCTTCCCTGCAGGAACTGGGACAGACTCCGTGCTCTCCTGCTCTGAAATCCTGCTCTGAGCTGAGAGATCAGTAATGTGTGTTTCCAGGGACACAGAGCAGCTGGCACATGGCATTCCAAGTGGATTGGGAAAGGTCTGTGAGCCTGTGGTTGCTTTCTTCTCTACTCTGTGTTGCTCATTCCTTGAGGAGACACTAGAACTAGAACTGCCTACTTCATTCTTTCATGATTCTTGTTCCTAAACTCTTAGCAAATGGCTTGTTTCTCTGATTACTCGGGCAGGTGACAACTCATAATTACATTTTGTTGGAAAAATAGTTTGTTTATTTTTCTTTATTTTCTTAGACCAGACTCTCTCCGCAAAATTGTGCTTCAGCTGGTAAACCTGAACCAGCTGTTGGTTACAAGTCCATGGCTCAGAGTCCCTTCCCAAATCAATGCTGTTTTCAAAATCTGTCCCTGGACTGGGACACCTCCAAAGATGCCAAACCTTTGTCTGTTTGGAATAACTGCAAATCTTTTTCAGCAAAGTGGTGCTCCCAGTCCTGCCCTCAGCATGAGGTGCTGAGATTTAGTCTGAAGCAGTGGGAAGGGATGTGAGCTGCCTGGAGTTAGGATACACCTTCTGACCAAAGATTATTCAGAGAGCTGGTGTTCCCAGGCACCTGAGGTCTGGGAGAAGGCAATTTGTTTTAATGTGTGGTACCTGGTGACACTGCAGTGCTCTGCACTGGTGCAACTGGTTTTCATGCTTTACAAGAGTTACTGTTGGAGCAGAGGGGGAAGTTGTCAATGTAAATAGAGGAAACAAACAATTTGATTTTTGGATATAACCTCTGAGTCTCAGAATTCTGTTGCTATGTTGCCCCCTAGGATCATACTCAGTGTTTTAACATGGACACCTTTATGTCCCCTCTATTTTCTTTAAATGTGCAGCTATTGTCAGTAACCCCCTGTGAAATGAAGCTATTGGCTGTTTTGCTTCTCTTGTGGATTATCATATTTTTCTGCTTTGGAAAGAAACATGATGTGCAGGACATGAGGAATCGCTGTCCTTTGCTAGAGAGGCAGCAGCTGCTGGCCAGCCAAAGCTCAGGAACTTCATGGCCACTTTTCAAGGGTGTTGTATTTTGGCTAATTCTTGTCTTCACAACATCTGGCTGATAGCTTTTAAAAAAATTTAGAATTTAATTTATTGGGTTTTCCTTTGATAATTTCTGTGGTCACAAATTCAAGAGGAACCAAATCAACTGAGTTAAATTCCAGAAAATTGGTGTGCCTGCTCTGGAGGATATTAAGCTTTGCAAGAAAATAGCCTGTCATGGTCACTCCTGCTCCAGTGTGAGCTTCAGAAGTCAGAGCTAGTTTGGGTGAGAAAACAGTGATTGTAAATGCCTGCTTTTGCAGAATCAAGGTATGGGATTGCTGCAGAAACACTAAAAATACTGATCCTTCCTCTTCCCCCACCCAAATCTGATAGAGATCGGTGGAGTTTGAAGGATCTGCTGCAATAACCTTCAAAGCAGTTTTAAAAGAACTTTAAAGAAAATACTAACTATGGAATAAAGACCAGAAATTATAATTAAAAAAAAGGTATCACAAGTATTACTGCAAAGAAAAACATATAGCTAATATTTAAAACATAAACCTAAACATGTGCAAGATCAGCACGAAAGTTCCACTTCTCATGGGGCAAGGCTGGTATTTTAAACTCCAATATAAAGATGAATACAGAAAATAGATATCTCTGGACTCCAACACTGGACAGAGAATTATCTATGCCTCTCACCCAAAGCCTGATTTTGTTGACACTGTGGTTACTTGAACCAGTCTGATCTTGTACTCTGTGGTTAGTTTTAGCCTTGAATGGGAGAAGTCAATTTCTTCTGCAGTTCTTCTCAACTTTGACCTTCACCACATCCTTTGACTTTTTTGTACTTCCTTCTTAATCTTTTAAAGGACTGTTTTAGAGTTAATTCTTAACTTGCACATCATAAATCTTATATTCTCAATGAAAAATACTGAGGCATTTCAAAAATACCTAAAACTACCATTTGTTTTTCTGTACACACCTGATGGTTTACTCTTCATGCATATTCTATGTATTTGCCATTTGGATTAACAGCTGATTTCACTTTGTACTTGTTCAGTAAGTTTTGTCCTGTGTCAGGAGCTTCTTGATGTAGCTGGAGGTTTGCAATGAGGCTTGTTCTGCCTCCTCTTGTATTCCACACTCTCCTTTCCATTCCTCCTCTCCTCACCTGCTTGTTTTCCAAGCCAGGACTTGCCTGAGCCCTCACTGTGCTGCTCCAGCAGGACCAGCTGTGATTGGAACTGGGTCACTGCAATGGCCAACACCAACACTGCAAAACCAACACTCAACCCTTCCCTCTTTTTTTTTAATGTTTTTTCCCCCTATTATTTCCCCTAATATTTTGTAAGTCAGGTTGGGCCATAAGTGGGTCATAAACTGGGGATAACTGGAATAAAATGTTATTGTTATATCTGAAAGGGGGGCAAGCTAAATGGGAAGGCTGGTGCTCAATTGCTGCTCAGTTTGCTTAGACCGAGGGCAGACCCACAGGCACAAGGATCTTGAGAAGAGGCTTAGGGAGTTCTTGGGCTTTGTGGGGGCAGATCAGGGGACAAACAAGTAAGCACTGAGCCCCTGGTGAGATGAGGATGTGCTGAACTCACAACAAACTGTGGCATGCAGCCAGGTGTAAAAATATGTGTAAAAATATAAGTGGTTTTACTTCTGGGCTTTTGATGATGAGAACAAGGCTGAGTGCACAGTGCCAGGCTGGGCAAATGTGATAAATCAGTAACAAAGGACAACCAGCTGTGCCCACCTAAATTGGGGTGGAATTGGCAGCAGCAATTCCTCACAGTGCTGAATGATTGTGTGTCAGTGTGCTGTGACAATAAGAAATACATCAGACTCTAAGTGGACAGACACTTTCCTGATGCATGAGACCGGTAAAGAGCCAGAGGGCAAAACACAGAAATAAATGATAAACTTGCAATCAGACAAAGCTGGTCCTACAAAGATTCTTTTGTCTGTGTCTAAAGAACCAGTGAGCAAGCCAGATATCCAGTGCTGCATGGATCATGGGCAATGTGGGACACAATTGACCACAAATTCTAGGGATGGGTGAGACATCTCTGCTCTGTGCCACAGGGCACAATGACCTTCACCAGAGGAACCCCTGAGGATGTGAAGTTGATTTTGATTCACAGAGCTTTTCTCTTTTCCTAAGAGTAGGGCTGGGTTTCTGTGTTCTTGGCTCAGACCTTGTCTGTCTGTGGTGGCTCTCCGGTGATGCTGCCAACCTTTGTGACCAAATCTCACCTGTGGATCTGTGACACCTAAGGGCCAGCCCAGGGCACCCCTTGGCCTAAGGTTAACAGAGCACAGGAGGAATTTATGCCAACACAAAGGAACAAAAATCACCATGGAGCTCTCAAGGATACAGAGCTTATCTTTTTGAGAGGAAATTTTTTTCATTAAATCACTAAAATGGGACAAATCACTGAATGATAGAATGGCTTGGATTGGAAGGGATCTTAGAAATCACCTAGGTCAGGTTTCTCAAAGTCTCAACCAATCTGGCCCTGAACATTTCCAGGGATTGGGCATTCACAACTTCCTTGGGCAACCTGTGCCAGTGCCTCACCACTCTCACAGTAAAGAATTCCTTCCTCAAACCTCATCTAACCCTCCCCTCTTGCAGTTTAAAGCCATTCCCCCTTGTCCTATCACCATATTCTCCTGTAACAAGTCCCTCTCCATCTTTCTTGTAGGTGCCCTTTATGTACTGGAAGGCTACAGTGAGGTCTCCCCTTAAAAAAAGTGTTTGTCAGAAAGAGTTTGGAAAACAAGTGACAAACCAGACAGGAGGGAGATGCAGGTCAGCAGGGGAAGGAGAGTTGCAAGTGGTGTCACACTGGAGAACAGGGTTTAGAAAAACAATGCCCCAAAGCTGTGAACTGGAAATAAACAAAACAAAACAAAAGGGACCTACATCCATCCCACAGACTGCAAGGTCCTGGATTTTAAGGTGTGTGGGCAGCTTCCTTGGCTCAGTGAAGTGCTCCTGGTGAGCATCTATGTTCCCATCTTCCAGCCCTGGGAATTTCTAATCTCTCAGTCTTTGGCCACTGGAGCCACAGAACCACGGAATATTCTGAGTTGGAAGGGAGCGCAGTGGAAGATCTTCCACAGGATGCGGCCTGTGCAGCTCAGTATTGAAAGTGTTATCCAGTGTTATCCACTGAAATCCAGATTTGAACCCCAAAGTTACTGTGATGGGGTGAAATCTCTGATGAAACCCCAAGTCACCTCACATGGA